ATGTTGAGGTATGTACCCTCTATCCCTACACTGTGAAGAGTTTTAATCAAGAAAGAATGCTGTACTTTGTCAAATGGCTTTTTCTGCATCTGTTGAGAGTATCATATGGTTCTTGTCCTTTCTTTTATTAATGTAGTGTATCACATTGACTGATTTGTGGATGTTGAAGTAAACTTGCAGCCCAGGAATAAATCCCACTTGGTTGTGGTGGATAATCCTTTTAATGTATTGTTGGATCTCATTGCTAGTATCTTGGTGAGAATTTTTGTTTTCTATATGCCGTACAGCTTTTTGTTCCTCATTTCCTGTATTATTGTCTTCTTTTGTGTTTAGTTGATTTCTTTGTAGTGAAATATTTAAATTTCTTCTGTATATATTCTATAACTATTATAGTTATTTTCTTTTTGGTTACCATGGGTATTACACTTAGCATCCTAGTATTATAACACACTTATTTGAATTTGTACCAGCTTAACTTCAGTAACATACAAAAACTCTGCTCCTTTACAGCTCCATCCTCACCCCTTTTGATTATCGATTTCAAAAATAACATGTTTGGGGCGCCTGGGTGGCTCAGTTGTTAAGTGTCTGCCTTCGGCTCAGGTCATGATCCCAGGGTCCTGGGATCGAGTCCCGCATTGGGCTCCCTGCTCAGCAGGAAGCCTGCTTCTCCCTCTCCCACTTGCCCTGCTTGTGTTCCCTCTCTTGCTGTGTATCTCTGTCAAATAAATAAATAAAATCTTTAAAAAAAATTACATGTTTGTACATTGAATGCCCCCAAAATAAACTAATAATTCTTTTAACTGCATCAGTCTTTTAGACTTGAAAACAGGAATTACAAACTAAAGCCACAATAATACTATCTTTTTGATTGCTTTTTGAAAAATGTATTGGTCTGTTAAATTATTCCAAAAACAAAAAAGTAGAATTGCAACTACTGTTACAATATTACTAGCTTTTTATAATTTTGCCTGTGCATTTTCCTTTATTGAGATCTTTATTTTTTCATATGGCTTTGAGTTACTGTTCACTTTACCCTGCAGAATTCCATTGAGTGTTTCTTGCAGGTCAGGTCTAGTGGTGATGACTCCCCCAGCTTCTGTGTCTTTGGGGATATCTTAATTTCTCCCTCACTTTAGAAGGACAGTTTGCCAAATATAAAATATAAGATCCTTTGTTGACAGTTTTTTTTTTCTTTTAGTACTTTGAATGTATTTGCCCACTGCCTTCTGGACTCTAAAGTTTCTAATGAGAAATCTGCTAATAATCTTATTGTTTACTTTTCTTCAATGTTTTTTCTTTCTGTTCCTCAGATTCAGTAATTTCCATTGTTCTACCTTTAAGTTTGCTGATTCTTTCTTCTGCTTGTTCAAGTCTGCCTTTGAATCCCACTAATGAATTTCTCATTTTAGTTATTATGCTTTTAAGCTCTAAAATTTTTGGGGGGGTGGTTCTTCTTAGGTTTTCTTTTTTAAAAAAAAAATTTCCATTTTGTTCATTCACCATTTTCTTGACTTACTCCACATCTCCTTTATTTCTTTGAGCATCTTAAAGATAGTTACTCTAAAGTCTTTGTCTAATAGATTTGCCATCAGGTCTTTCTTAGGGACGGTTTCTGTTGATTAATATTTTTCCTTTGAATGGGCCATACTTTTCTATTCCTTTGAATACTTTGTGATTTTTTCATTGAAAACTGGATATTTGAATCTAATAATATAGTAACTCTGGAAATCAGATTCTCTCCCTTCCGAGGGTGTGTGTGTGTGTTTGTTGAAGGCTGTCTCCATGCCAAGGATCAGCCTGAGGTATAATCTTAAGGTCTTTTAGGTCTATTCTGAGTCTATGCCTTTTCCTGGTCATGCATATACAATTGATTTTTTACATTCTAGTCTTTAATATCTGGCTCCCAGTAAGAGAAAAAGAGAAAAATAAAGGGAATGGGGAGTGGATGCTTTCCTTTTAAATTTCCTGGAGGTCTCTTTAGCTAGATGGGAAGGGGATGCAATGATCGGGGGGAGGGACAACAACAATGGCTGCCCTTCTTTTTCTACACATCTGTCATCAGAAGCAACCCATCAGCCATTAGAGCACAGATCCCTGATATTTATTTTTTAATTTTTTAAAAAGATTTTATTTATTTACTTGACACACAGAGAGAGAAGGAGAGAGCAAGCACAAACAGGGGGAGCAGCAGAGGGAGAGGGAGAAGCAGGCTCTCCGCTGAGCAGGGAGCTGGATGTGGGGCTCAATCCCAGGACCCTGGGATCATGACCTGAGCCGAAACTAGCCGCTTAACCAACTGAGCCACCCAGGCGCCCCCAGATCCCTGATATTTAGAGGATGGGATCCTTTTTGCAGGCTGTGCATAAGCTGCTTGGGGAACATGTGAACAGCTGTTTGCTGAGGGTGGGGGATGGGTAGCTGCTACTGTGCTAAGAGCTGAAATTAACTACAGATTACCATTGGAGGCTTCCCTTGAAAGTTTCAAACCTTCAATAGACTCCAGAGTTCCAGAATAGTTATATTAGACAGATTTTGGCAAAACAATTATTGTCTAGGTGGGGAGATAGAATCCTGCTGCTTCCAGGGCACCTGGGTGGCTCAGTCATTGTCTGCCTTTGGCTCAGGTCATGATCCAGGGTCCTGGGATGGAGCCCCACATCGGGCTCCTTGCTCAGGGGGAAGCCTGCTTCTCCCTCTCCCGCTCCCCCTGCTTGTGTTCCCTCTCTCATTGTGTCTCTGTCAAATAAATAAATAAAATCTTAAAAAAAAAAAAAGAATCCTGGTGCTTCCTACTTCACCATCTTTTCAGAATCCTCCAGTGCTTAACTTTTTTTTTTTTTTTAAAGATTTTATTTATTCATTTGACAGAGAGAGACACAGTGAGAGAGGGAACACAAGCAGGGGGAGCGGGAGAGGGAGAAGCAGGCTCCCCACTGAGCAGGGAGCCTGATGCGGGACTTGATCCCAGGACCCTGGGATCATGACCTGAGCCGAAGGCAGCCGCTTAACCGACTGAGCCACCCAGGCGCCCCAAGTGCTTAACTTTTTTTAACCTAAAAAATTTTTTGTACAAAAGCATACCCAAAGTCATCTTCCTAGATAGCCCTGCCTTTTTGGAAAGGATCCATACCTACTGTTAACCTTCTACCCATGATACCTCCCCATGACCTTAGGTAATTATCTTTGTATCATATATTCCTCAGAGTTCCTTTGACAAACATGTCTTTGATATTTTATACATAGAAAAAGACAAGCTAGTATACCCCTAACCACCAGGATCTATACAATAGGTAACCAAAATCACTCACAGATGTTTTGGTAATCCTTAGCTAATTGGACTATCCTATTTTCCAATTTTATTTACTATCACCTTATTAAATGTATTGAGAGACTCATTTAATTGTGTATTTGATATTTCTAAAGCAAATTTATTTCCTCTTCTGGCCAATTTATTTCCACAGAGATTACATCGATTGGGAGTTTTAGGTAAATTTCCCCAACTATCTTTCCACTTTGGTAATTGTTATCGGTATTTCGTTTTCTTTCTTTCGTTCTTTTTTTTTTAAGAGAGAGCAGCCATGTGTTGGGGGAGGGGGCAGAGGGAGAGTGAGAGAGAGAATCTTAAGCAGGCTCCACGCCCAGCACGGAGTCTGACTC